AAAAAAGAATATCTGGACCGAGATGCGAAAGTTCTTAACAGCCCATAGAACTACACCTCACACCAGTGCAGGCGTCACACCGGCCAAACTCCTGTTCAACAGGGAAATCAGATCAAAGATTCCTGAACTGGGAAACTCGAGGTACTCTGACAGTGAGGCGAGAGACAAGGATGCAGAGATGAAGCAGGAAAGAACTGACTATGCTGATGGGAAAAGGAGAGCTCGAGAGAGCGATCTAGTACCTGGTGATTTAGTACTCTAAAAACAAAAGAAAGAGAACAAACTCTCGACTACTTATGGCCCACTTCCATATACCATTAGCAAGAAGCACGCTAAAGAGGTCATCATATCGTCACCCGAAGGAGTAAACATGAGGAGAAACGTGGCCGATGTGAAGAAATACTTGAGAGAGGATACAACCGCAGATGAACAAGTTGCTGAAGATGACTCTTCCGAGGAAGATGACACTGGAAGGAGAACAGAACTCCAAGGGAGACCAGTAAGGGAAAGGAGGCCACCGGAGTACTTAAAAGATTACGAAGTGTACGAACTCTCTTCGGTGAAAGAGTGAGACTTTGTTGAACATTTATTGAACATTTTAATTAGTTTACCGAACGCTTGACGAGGCTCGTGTCAGGAACACATTTGCCAGTTCAGAAAAACACCTTATTGAACATTTTATTTAAGTTTCACATTGATAGTGTCTTGATGCCCCTAGAGTGACTTTTTTACTGAACACTTTAATCCGGCTCGTGTTGGAGACGCTTTGACCCGTTCATGATGTTTCGTTATGTTAAGTCTTCTCCTTAGGAAGATAGGGGTTGTAGTGTATGCCGGGATATATGAAAGACTATTATAGGATAGGAACGAGGAGAAGAGATTACGGGAGTCGGAGAGTTAAGGACCGCGATGTCATCCGGTTTAATCCTTTGTTCCTTATAAATTACGTCGCGTAGTTGAGAGAATTTGGTTTTAGATTAAAATAACAACTTATGCCTGGTAAGTATTAGTATTCTCACTACCTACATCTATTTGTTGGAAGCATGCCAGGCACTGGGAACAATATCAAGTAGACAATACAAGTTTCTTTGGATATCTTCTGATTGCCTTGGAGCCCTTTTCATACATGTGCAAAGGTCTGCTGCCAAGTAAGCTAACTTTTAATTCAACGGCACAAGTTTTGACAGCCTACCGATACTAAGTGAAAGTACTTTCACACTAAACATCACATATTCTGNGCCATATAAGATTTCTGTCTCTCTGTGATGTTAATTAATAATGTAGTGAACTTGCAGTTTAATGTAATGTAAAATGGGTATGGATGTTTACTTAAGCTTCACAACAAACAAAGACATGTATTTTTTTTTCTAGATTAACCAGTGTTATTCATATGACTGCAATGGTTCTAGTCTACTTTTACAGCAGTGTTGGCAGCATTCTACCCAGATTTTGAGCAGGCAGACGGAAAAAAAAATATTGCTGGTTGCCAGATGTTAGAAATTATTTTGGACCAAGACAAATACATTACTGCTGGGTTGGACAGTCAAATAGACAGTGCTTATTACAAATGAGTCATGGCTAAAAACCCTAGCCTAGCAGGACCACTACAGCTGTATCTATGATCTCAACGAAAATCTTCTAACTTGCCAATGTAGACAGTGTATGTGTAATGTGCAAAGGCACATAATGTAAATTACAGATCAATTGGGTAAATAAAGGATTATCCTTACAAATCTCTCTTAACAGACACTTCTACATCCCAAAAATAACTTCATTTCTCTAAAATGAGAATTTCATTGCAACATCATAGACACTAAGGATAGACAAGTAACTCTCAATACCTGCTTCAGTGTATAAACAGTCCCTAACTAATGGCAATCTTTAAAAGTTGTCTGTTCCAAAATGACTTAATTGATTATGAACTGATTGCTCAAACTAAATTTCTACCTTGGTATTTGAAGTTACAAAACTTTTGCAAAGATGTCACCAAACTGACAACTTCTGATTTTTTTACCAACAATATTTTGATAGCCATTCCCAACCAACTGAGGTTTCATATTTCCAATTAACAGACACTGTCAGCCACTTGGCATGTCAGTCAACTGACTGATCATTCTTTCGTAGTTCTCAGTTAAAGGGTATGGAGTGTAGCTATAAAATCTAACTCCTAAGGAAGAGAGGATGCAAAAGTAGAGATAATAACTTGCTGAGCTTGACAGTCCAACTGTGAACAAGACACAATTCACCTTATTAAGCTTCTTCAGTCGCACTCGAGAGAATTCAGTCTCATTACACTTAGTGTTTAACGTGAAAATTCAATTCGTGGCCGGAGCAAACATCTTGTACAAAGAATGGGTGAAGTAAACGTCGTTGATTTCCGCTTGAAAATCTTATGAAAACTTCTAACTTCGAAAGATGAAAAATTACTTTTACCTCCTTGGACTGATGAATATGACACTGACAGCAGAATGACGAAGAACCAATGGCAGAAACGTTCTCTGGACGTAAAAATTCGGACAAGAAATTCGTCCATAGTTAACAAGCATAGTTTGATCGAAGCCGCTGTTTAGAATATTCGTTCGTACCCTACCCCGCTGAGCGGAGCTATTGGTAATTTATGCTGCGGTCGATGAGGTCACGACCTTAAAATAAGTCATAACAAGCTTAAGCTTGTCTGTCTCCTATACTGGTTTCCATACAAGCCCAACATTGTATTTCCTCCATCTAAAGAGACCGCTTTGGACTTCCGCAAGTCGCAATGTTCAGGGGATTTTATTCTTTAAGGAGGAAGAAGACAGAATCAGCCCTGAAAAAATAGCTAAGCTCTGTTAATCATTACTAAGGTTACAAAAGCAATATCAACATAAAGAGAGTTCGAGAACGTGACGTCAAAAATAGCGACACTTTTCTGTTTTCCTTTATGCTGAGAGGTTGAAATACCAACACAATTACGTTTAAAGAAAAAACTGATCCAAGCCGATTGTAAAGTTTTTAAAATAAGGAAGTTTTATAAGCTACTTACATTGAACTGCTAAAGTCCCTCGAGTTGAAGTCAAGTTTCCAACATTATTAAAAGCCACACATCTCTATTGTCCCGAATCCGATCGGTAAACATTTGTGATTGTTAAACTGTGATTGTTGTTCTGTGATGACNAAGCAATTCAAGAAGTCGGCGACGTTCAAATTTTGGAGGCATTCGACCGACACCTTGGTGATCGTCATGTAACTTCGGCCGATCCCGGTTCCTTTTAACAGGCTAATTCCCTCTCCATACATGATTAGAGACTGTAGAAAGCATAGGTAGGAAGATTTTTCTCCATATTCAATTTTTTTTTTCTACCACGTACCCTGAACTTTTAGGAATCCCATGTAAGAATAACCGGGATGCCCCTCAAACATTTTGAATTACAGCCTCTTTTCTGTGCACCTGCCTGCCTGTCCATCTGTCTGTCTTTCTGCATGATACTCTGTGTTTGCTCGTCTGCCTGTTTTTCTGTCTGTCTTTTTGTCAGTCAGCCTGCCTGCCTGCCTGCCTGTCCGTCTGTCGGATTGGGTAGTCGAAACCTCGGCCTAGTCTCTTCCGGGGTTACCTTCACTAGGAGAAGCGCATCACACGATCGACTGCGGTATACAGTCGTTATAAATGTAAAATTAGTAAATTTTCGCCTTTAAAAAAATAGTACATGAAAAGAAATGTTGAGCCCCATCTATATGGTCTCGGGTAACCGAGACAACCCTACCCCCGAGTTACCCTAGGCGAAACAACTCTTCACTTATTTCTTTACAAAATTCAGCCGCCCGTTTACATGAGGTTACGAACTCGTCTCGGGTAGGCGAGATAACTCGGGGGAAGGGGGGCGAGTTGTCTCACCTCGGCAGGTAGGGTAACCCTAGCAGGCGAGACAACTTTTTCTCATGTAAACATCTTGTCTCGCCCACCCGAGACGAGACAACTCGAACAGAAAATGCGTGCGCATGCTATAACCAGAGTCCGTTCGTATTACAGTTATTCTTTTCCTGTCGTACGCCACTCTGTCGAATATTTAACCCAACAAGGGTTAGCAGATGTCAAATTTCATACAAACGCTCCGTAGAGTTGTCTCGGAGGGAGGGTTGTCTCGGGTACGCGAGACCATATAAATGGGGCCTTATTTATGTGACAAAAACGTGAACACCATGATAATTTATTTGACTTTTGAGAATTTTTTCTACTGACATAGAAAAAGACGTGATTGAAATAAAAATTGTCTAGAAAAATCCGAGACGAATCTTCCTGGATTTCTTTCAATCGAAACTGTCAATAGGCAAGAGTGAAATATTGAAACACAAATTCGTTACTGATTTTTGGAAGGTTAGATATCATTCAGAGCCTTCCAGTTGTCTAATTCTTTGTTAAGTTAGGTTAGCACTAATTTTTTCGGTATTTTTACTTGTTTTTAACGTATACTGCACTTTAGATTAGTCTTAGTACTAGATTAAAAAAAAGTAAGGCGCGAAAAAAGTTTTTTAAAAACATGCCTTGGGTTAGGCGATCCATACGCTATCTTTACGCTACCGGGCAAAACTTATTACTCAAACGCCAAAAAATTGAAATTGAAATAGGTTGATTGTAACATTGAAACACAAAAAAAGTAACGGTATATAAATCATCATCAACAGCTCAAATACTGTCTTAAACACCTACCATTCATGTTCAACATGTCTTTGACTCCCAGAAGTGACGAAAACGTAACTTCTCCTTATAGTGGCCATTCATTATCCAGAAAATAGGTAATGAGAATACTCAAACTTATCAGGTAGAAGTTGTTGTCTTGATCTAAATCCAGATTCTCGAAACCAAGACATAAGGAAATGTCTAGAAGCTAAAGGGGAGTAATGAGATTCAAAAAGTTAAACTATGTTTTGCGTTTCTTTTTATTTTTTATTGAAAATGTGCTTTGTATTAAGTTAATTTTATCTTGTAATTTGATTAAGCCATAAAATATGAAGAAATTAAAACTAACTATCTTGAACAAAAGCTCATCTTTCAAACCGGCAGTCTCAATCCCACAGGGATCAATGAACGCTTTTCATTCCACTAATTTATTCATGTTTTTCTCGTTGCCATGCACCCACCAATAACGTAGCTCCATTTTCTGCCTTTAAAAGCACACACAACCCACAATTCCTCTATTCGCTCCGACGAAGGGCTAACGCTCGAAATGTCAGCTTTTGTAATCGTTACGGTGGCCAATTTACCACTTCAACTTTGTTGATATATCCAAATTATTTGACTTTACATAGTCGTTTAAGGAGAAAGAAGAGACATCCTTGCCAGTACATTTTCGATTCTTCGTGTTATGTTTTATCTTCAGGGCGAATGTGGTACCTTAAGGTAACTAAAAAGTACTCCTACAAGACAAGCAAATATATTGGCGGGAAAATGTTCATTA